TTGAGATACTGCATTTTGTGTAATGGTGGTGCAAGAAATAATAAAATAAACATAATTAAAAAAACATTCACATTCAATATGGAGACCAGGGAGAGAATTTAATTGAAAATTTAATTGAAATTAGTACATTCTCTTTTTTTATATCTTGTGTATAATGCAGTCTGATGGTGCTGAGATGATCTAAAGCTCTACATTTTATGCCTAAATGTGCTCAGTACATATAATACATTGCAATATTCCCAAACTTTTGTGCTGACAGTACATTACAAAATGCTATATAATTTAGAACCATCAGCTGGACACAAATATCCACATCAAATTTCAGCATCACATGAAATATTTGAGATATATTTATTGCTCTGGGGCAATTATGTTTTAGATATCTTAGATATAGGGACTGACACACCGACCGATAACATCATCCTCAATGCCCTTGTTGCATTGTGTCAACATCAGTCCTGGGTCTGGACAAGTGATTGGCTGCTCAAATAAATAACTAAATGGGAGGCTGTGGCGCCACCTAAGCTGCTGTGCCCAATGTGGCTTTATGGTAAGAGTGTGGAACAGCAGTAACACAAAACCACACCCACAAACATACCCACAGCAAATGACACGTATTCCTCAGTATTATTCGAAGGCCAGTTTTATCCAAACAGCGGGACTGAGGAATGAAGAGACACAGACAGAGACATGAAGAATCACTGCACATCACAGAGAATTAATTCTATTAATATATGTTGATTTCAATTGGGAAATTACTGGTTATTGTAGTTGGAAAGACACAGAAGACAAAACCTTCAACTCAGCTGCTGTATATTAGACGTCTCTGTTTCTCTGACCCTAAACTGTAATCTGTTTTAAATGCCTGTTTCTTTCTGTTTATTTAATCATGAGCCTCCTCTAATATATGTTCCATAACAGGCCCTCACTCCCACCCTCCAAAAAAAGTGTATTAAGCGTTTTAACGTGTGGATGCTGCAGTGTTATTACTCACCACAAGAGGGATCAGAGGGGTGAACTGCAGCAGAAAAAGAGGGTTGCCTTACAGAGTCATTTTTATGGTGAATTTCTGCCTGCATTATTGAGAACATTGTTTTCTATGATCTATCCCTCCATGAATGTGTCCCATTTATTTGTGTGGGATTGTTTAAATCTGTTTGCTAATGCATGCATGTGTTTATGTGAGTTTGATGTAAACTATTCAGAGGAGACAGCATTGATTATTTAAGCTAATTTTTCCCTCATCAATTTACACTCAATACCCCATAATGACAAAGCGAAAACAGAATTTTAGAAATTTTTGCAAATGAATTAAATAGGAAAAACTGAATTATCACATTGATATAAGTATTCAGACCCTTTTCTCAGTACTTTGTTGAAGCACCTTTGGCAGCGACTACAGCCTCAAGTCTTGGGTATGACGTGATAAACTTTGCACATCTGGATTTAGGATTTTCTCTGCAGATCCTCTCAGGCTCTGTCAGGTTGGATGTAAGGACCGTCTGTGGACAGCTATTTTCAGGTCTCTCCAGAGATGTTCTATTGGGTCCTACTCAGGGCTCTGGCTGGGCCACTCAAGGACATTCAGAGTTGTCCCTAAGCCACTCCTGCATTGTCTTGGCTGTGTGCTTAGGGTCATTGTCCTGTGAGGAAGTGAACCTTCGTACTAGTCTGAGATCCTGAGTGCTCTGGATCAGGTTTTCACTAATGATATCTCTGTACTTTGTTCTGTTCAGCTTTCCCTCAACCCCCAACCAGTCTCCATGTCCCTGCTGTTGACAAACACCCCCAGAGCGAGGTGCTATCACCATCATGCTTCACCATTGGGATGCTATAGGGAGCTAAATTTCAACTGCCATAGCAAAGGGCCTGAATACTTATGTCAATATGATATTTCAGTTTTTGATTGTTAATAAATTTTCAAGAATTTCTAAAATTCAATTTTTTCCTTTGTCATTATGGGATATTCAGTGTAGAAGAAATTAATTTAAATGATTTAAGCATGAGGCTGCAACATAACAAAAAGTGAAGGGGTCTTTCTGAATCCACAATCATTCTGGATTTTTTTTTTTTAATTCTCCATTGCATTAGATTTAGCAGTGAGCAATACCACAAAATTGGGGTTTTTATTCAATTGCAGGTAATACCAGGGCCTGAATCCTGATGTCAGTACTAATACAAAAAGTTTTATTATTAGAAACAGGTAATGTGCCATGATTCATGTAATAAATACATCATTAATAAGTTATTACTGAATACCTGTTCATTAACGCCAAATTAGTTTCCAAACATTTCAACAACAGTCACTTCAGTCTTGACTCCCTTTCTTTTTCCCATCACCTTCTCTCTCTGCTCTTGTTGCTCTTGTCGTTTCTTTCCTCACTTTCCGTCACCGCTGTTTCTTTTCTTATCTGTGTTTGCAGTCAGTTCCTTCTCCCTGTCTCCATTTGCACTTCTTTAAAAATGTTTTCCTCCAAATATATCACACAGCCCACTGCAGATACTGCATAAGCAGCACCCATTCACAGTGAATTAGCCAATTGTCCCTACTCCAAACAAAAGGTTTATCTGAATGGACTCTCTAACCTTCCTGCCAACTTGCAATAGCAGCTCTGTGTTTGGCAACCAGAGATTATTACTGCCGTGAAAAAATCCCTTTCTGTTTTGTTGTGATAAACTCCTTTGGTTCAGTACATCTTCAGTGCACAGAAATGTGATAATGTTTCAGAGGAAGTTGGATGTGCTTCATGTGTTAAATTTTTTTTTATGTTACAACAGAGGTGCTGTGATTCCTGGTTACCTTGGCATGTTAGCAGCTCAGCTTTTAATGTCTTGTTGACTTTTCCATGTATTATAAATTTTGCTGGCAACAGGACTGCTGATTCTGTCCACTCAAATCAAGGGCTTTTGCCTAACTGCCACACATGCAGTCAGACATTTGACCATGGGGACTTATTTGTCAGTCAGCAAACCTTGGTGAGATGAAGATGTGACATCCCACTCAGTCAGCGACAGAACAGAGGAATTTCCTGTATGGCTGCAGTGGCTCTGATTGGCCCATTCGGGGAGTCACAGGAAATAGGGCGACATATATCAGTCAACTGGAGGCTAGCACTCAAAAGCTGTGGAACAATAAACATAACACATACACACACACACACACACACACACAAACACACACACACACACACACACACACACACACACACACACACACACACACACACACACACACACACACACACACACACACACACACACAGAAGCATTCTTTCCTATAAAAACATTTGGTTGCTGTTGCTAGTACTCACTACTTAATTCATGTCACACATGTCACATATTGGCCCCGGCTACTCTTAGTGGCCTTAAACATACACACATACCACACTTGAATAGTACACACTACTTCGTGTCTGCTCCATGTCCACATAATGTAAAGTGATTACTTTCTAACTTATGCCGGTCCAATGTCCAATGTCCAATGTTTTTACTGGCAATTCAGGAGCACGATTTAGTGTTATTTTTTATCAGAAATACTTCATCAAACACTCACACACCAGTGGTGTAATTAAGTGGTGTAATAAGTAATTTGTTAAAGAGGCTATAGAAAAACCATGTATCAAATGACAACATTGAAACCATGTGTCGGTGTCAAAGGTGGGGCTCATAGTGATTAACTTACATGGAATTTCACCTGAATATGCTTCATCTTTAGTGAGAATTATAACGAGTTTCAGCTCGTTCTTTGTCTGTGCAGCCCACGACTCTACTGTTCTGGTCCCCTCTCACTGCTCTAAAAGCGTTAGGCAGCTGTTTCAGTGAAAAAGCCAGAAAAAAAACAACTGTACATCCTCTGCTCTCAGCCAAAAAATAGACCCAACATAGTTAACGGCCAGCTAGGTGAACATAGTGAAACATTTAGCAGCTAAAGAGCCCTCATGAGTTGGTAGAGACCAAAAGCAGAGCTAAAAGAGAGTAAGTATTGGGCTTACATTCACCAGGTGGCCAGAAACACAACGCCAAATGAATGCTAATGTTGCTCCATAACTGCTGGATGTGTAAATATGCAACTTTTTGCTAACACTTTGTGATGATTTGTCAATGGACAAAATGGACAAAAAACAAACAAACAAACAAATAAAACAAATAAAAACATTTGTTGCAGGTAAATATATACACCTTATAGCTAATGTAGCTAATTTTGCAAAGATGTTTTTACCACGCAAATGCATATGCTCACACAGTTAAAGTCATAATAACTGAATCTTTTGTCTGGTTGGATGCAGCAGAAGAAGCTGTATGTAAAATTTCATGGTTTGGTCTCCCTCATCCCCTGAAGGAAATGGCTCTTTTAACTGCTAAATGCTCTGTTAACCAGTTAGCTGCTACCAATATCTGTCTGCTATTTGATGCAGGACTAGTAGTGTTCAGGCCTTCATTCCATGAGGGGACAAAAATTCAACAAATGTTGTCTGGTAACTGTATTAAGTGAGCCAAGTAGACAGACCACCTAAACACATACTAAGAGCTAATTCATGGGACATTTTTCTCACCTCTAAACCTGCACATCCACACAAAACAGTTATCCAAATCAGACTTTAAAGAAAACATATTCCTCTTACAAAATATAAACTCACAGACGTCTGTTGACAAGACAGTCCAAAATGTGTCAAGAGCCTCAAGGTCTATAGATCATTATTAGGTCTAGCAAGAAACCCTGCATATCATGAAGCATACATTATCAGTGTGTGTCTGTCTGTGACCCTGTTTGTCCCCCTGTTTGCCTGTTACTGACCTTTTGGATGTCATGGAAACAAAAACACTGTGGGATAACAAAAAAGGAGCACCCACAGCGAGGCTAAACATGTTATATAAAATTGGGACCCTCAAAAAGACTCTTGGTACTGTTAACAGAATGAAGTGGCAGTTTTTTTCAAAACCATTTTAGCTGCTTTATATTCAACAAAGATGAATTTCACGTAAAAAAACACAATAATTCAAACTTTTCACATGTTTTTATTGTTGCTGGGATATCAACACTATGACTCTGGCTGGACATTCATTGATATTGGCCCCTACAGTATGGATAGTATGTGTCACAATTACTTTCTACAAACTACTGGTACATGGTATATTAAATCTGAGGCTGACTTTTTTTTTTTAACAGAATTTTGAAGCAATGTTTCACTCTGGAAGAACAAAATGTTTCACACCTACAGCTCGGAGCATCAGTCACTAGTCCTAATGTGAATATTTTCATTTATACTCTTTGGGATCAACAGTAATGTTTGGAGTAGTGTAATGTGACTAAATGTGAAATAGCAACACACACCAGCTGTGTCATGTAGTGCTGCATAACTTGACGCCTGCAGCAAACATCAGTTGCCAATCTGGGAGTGAATGTAATAAAACTTTTTATCTATTTATTTTTTCCTGCAGACCATCATGGATTGGTGCAAATCAAGACACTGCCAGTGGATTGTGTGGTTTTACATATAAAACAGAGGGTGTGGGTGTTTTGACTTGTGTCGTATGCCGCCAGTGTGAATGAATTTCCAAACATTGTGTCTCCTGGCTGAAAAAACACCAATTAGAAATTACCCACATCTGAGGATCTGAAATTGGTTTGACTCATAATATATACTACTACTGTGTTTATGAGTTTGTACTCATTTGACATTTGAGGTTGTGTTGTGTATCTTTTTTATCAAAAAAATCATGCTTTCTGGTGAAAACTTTCAACAAAAGTGAAATATTGCTCCAACACTGACATTATTTTTTGTTGTTCTATAAGGCAAATGTAAGACAGCGGTGTTAGCAACACACAAACTTAAAGAGTAACTTGATACCACCTGAAAATCTTGGCATTGCTGACTTCCAGTGGTTTAAGTTCCACCTTGCTGCAGTGATGTACAAGTGTACTCCGGTACACTATGACATCACTGGTGGGTATGGTCAGAGGTGAAACTGGCTTGAAACTTTCAACCAGAAGAGGCAGTAAATCACTGCTTTTCAGGCTGGTGTGAAGTTACTCCTTATTAAAGAGAAGTGGAAGGCACTGCAAACATAGATATCGAGTTCTGGGTCACAAACAAGTTAATAACTGTAATTGCGTCTACAAGAAGTTCATTCATTAGGGTCATAATACAAAGAGCTCATGACATAAAAACATAAACAAAATCCTACAGTACATTTGGACAGAGCATAACACAGTTAAATTTACAGACACAAAAACACTTTCCCTTTGGTGATTAACATTGAATAATATATTTTATATACATACATACTGTACACATTATACTTACAATGGTATACAAAGAGTGACTCAATGGTAAACAAAAGACATACAAAGACAGAAAGTTTAGTTGGTTCACTATATAACCTGAATCAATACTTGGTTAGAAAAATGGTTACAGTGAATGTGGAATATGGAGGGTTGGATCCAGAGTTGTAGGTAGACAAAGTTGGGTCAATGAGTGGCACTCCTGCTGCCACTACTCCTGTAAGGCCTCTTGTGAAGTGAAAGATGGACAAATGCAAAGGGTAAACGTAAGAAAAGCAAACAAAATTTTTTTTATCGAAGATTGTTGCTTAGGAACTTATGTGTGGGCAACGTTGACAGTGAAGAATACCAGCTGACTTCATGTTAGCGTTGCAGTCTAAATCCCTGACAAACATCTCGCTTCCTGGAAAACATCTGACTGTATCTTTGGCCACGTTTCTCACTTTGCTGTCAGCTGTTGGGAGCTCTGTCTGTGTATTCTGGCCAAAGAGTGTTTTGATTCAAGTCACGACAAAACGTTCAGCTGGTAATTTTTAACAATGCACGTCATAGAATCACCGCGCTGACTTTCAGCTGGCACACAATCACAAGCTAATGGCAGAAGTCAGGGAGTGCACTTGTGGAAATAATATAACACCATTCAACACTGCATCGGCTCAACTCTGGCTCACCTCTCACTAAGTTCATTCATTAAGAAAAACACCCTAAAGGCTTTGAGTGTTATCATAAGAGTAAACTGTAATACGACATTGTTGTCAGTAGACCTTTAAAGAAGTATTGACTGACAAAAATGCTCAATGTTGTGGTATGGTGTACATCAACATAATCATAACCCCAACTATCTGATATGGTGACATAATGATGGGTATCTGTTATTACCTCACATCACCATTCATTTTCTGGTTAATAATAAAAGTATTTTTCAGTACTTTCCTCGAAGTGTTTGTTGAAGCCATGCACACCTATTAGACTGCGGTTCTGCAGTTCATGAGTCCCTAAAAGAAAAGTGATTTAGAAATGAAAAGGCATAACAGCCCCACCTTTTGTCAACCCTCTCAATGCTATAAAGAATTCAAATTTTTCTTGGTTTACAGTCATTTTCAGTTTCAGAACGACCAGGGGGAAATTTCACAGACCACTGAATATTGTTTCCCATTCTCTTTACTTTCCCAACCTCCTTCCTCTTTTTCTCTGTCAGCCTCGTGGACACAGAGACACTGGGTAAAGCCATGAGAGGCAGACAACTCAGCACCTTTCATGTCATAATCTGAAGTCTGTTAACACTCACCAGATACGACCTTCACCTTGTCTCCACATAACACTGTGGCGCAGAGCCTGCTCTAAAACTGCAAACATCCTCCTCCTCTTTTCTGGTAAGGTCCCTGGAACAACTTGTCTTTAATTCCTTTGAGAGAATAAACAACTCAGGATTTCCTGCAGATCTTGGAGTCCCTCAATGTATTTAAGGAGAAACTGATGGGATGGATTCACAAAAGCGTTTTAGTGGAAGAGGATAGTCGGTAGAATAATGAGTCGCCGTCGTATTTAGTTTGTAATGTCACTTGTCATTTAAAAGTGAGTGATGAGTCTAATGTGGAAAAGGACAGTGGCTCTGGTTACTTAAACGCTGGGTAGAACAGCACTGCAGTATTTTTGGTAAGTGGCTAAACATGTCAAATATATTTACATATTTATTCGATTTATAAGCAGTGGAAGTGACAATTAATGAATTTGTCACTTTGGTGTCTACAGTGGAAATAGGTCCAAACACTATCAAAAACCGCCCTTGACTCTCCACAAGGTCATTTTAAAGTTAAAGCTGCTGGAAATAGCATGTATTAACATTCAGTTACATGTCCTAAGCACAAAACGACACATGTCGGTTTGAATTTCCACAGAATTGAAGTCTTAAATAGTGTTTTAAATCTGGGGTCTCACCCCAAAATGTTGCAACTAATATGAATTAGTCTTCGGATGGATGTAATCCAGGATAAAACCTATCACTACAGGATACAAAGTGAGAAAAGACTGGAGAAAGAGGATGGGTTATACTGGCATTACCTTCATTTCACAGATTACTTTTAAATAGTTCATATCAGCATTGCCTGTAACAACACATTTAACACAAAAAAATAAACAACTAAACAAAAATACTAACAGCCTATCAGAGTCCTTGGAGATCAGACTCACTCCTGCGTTTCTTTCTCCACACAGACATGAAGTCTTCTCATCTTTCTTCATAGTTGCCGTTCTCTTCCTCATTATGATCTCATCCAACTCATCATCCAATCCGCTCACTAATCTTCCTCCTCACATTTATCACGTTGCTGTCTTTCGTTCATATCATGTTCGCAGTCCCTCTTGACCTTCCCATACCTCCATTTAAACCTTTATCAGTCACTATTTAGAAAAGAGATTAACCCCTTCGGTTTGGATTAATCTCCATGACATCCAGCCCTCCTTTATACTACTGAGTGTTCGTTGTGGTGGTGGTGATGGTGGTGCATACCGCTGCCGCTGAGCACCGTATGGTTGATGGATGACGCCGACCGGTCAGATCCCTCCGCGGCCGTTCCGTTGACGTTCTCCTGGCGCTGGCAGCACAGAATCTGCCTGAAGGTGGCGCTCATCTCCTTGTCACGGTAGGAGTAGATGATGGGGTTCATGGCCGAGTTGAACTCGGCGAGAAGTAGGAAGAACTTTTCGTAGGTGAGGACGTTGCAGCTTGCGCAGAAGACGTCAAGGAGGAGGATGACCAAGCCGGGCGTCCAGCAGACAATGAACGCCCCTGAGGAGACAGCAGAGAAAGAAAAGAGTTTAAAGTGCTGTTTTTCAGAAATATAAAAAAAAAAAGACAGCTCCATAGATTACTATTGTTTCTTACAAGGCTTAAAATTACAGATTTATATACACAGGTAAAATATTCATTACAAAAATAGGATATTTAATGTAGTTTTGTATGTTTGACATGAACAAAAGAGCAATACCAGTTCCAGCACAATGCCAGCATCCCACCCACTGCTTAAGGGAGGCTTACACATGAACTCATTGGTGTATGTAAGTATTAGTCACCATGTCAGTAGTTATGATGCTTATGAGCAGAATGAACTAACACACTTGGGTGTAACCCCTTCTAACATGTGGTTATGGCAGCTCAAAGCAACATGTAAGCAAAAAAGTTTTGCGGTGTCCGAGATGGACAAAGAGGCTGTAAACACACTTAATAGATGCCTGCATAATGTATTGGTTATAATGCTTTTATAAACTATTTACATTCTAGGTGTTGACCTTTGACCCCCATGAAGTCATAAAAGTTGTAAAAATAAAAGTTGAGTGAAAATTTGGCTGAGTAAGTGCACTTTTCATCCCATAGTTTCTTTCGATTACACCAAGGTGCTCACAGATTTCACAGAATAGTTGGATGATCGGACACCTTCAGAATTCGTATACAGTTCTACATGTAGCATATAATCCACCACAAACCTTGAATGTAACCTTTCACATCAAATATTTCTTCATTTTTAAATAGCTCTGGTTATGCGAAAAGGAAATACAGCCATGTTTGAATCTAATAAGATACTTTGAGAATCACATGAATCAAAGTGGCACATAAACACAGTTTTTGGCCTGGGACTGAGGGATGAGACACATTGCAGGTTTTGACATATAGAGAGAGAAAGAATGTCAGTACATTTAGCCTTTTTTGCCTTTGTGATGACTTTTATCTTTGCACACATCGCACACACACACACACACACACACACACACACACACACACACACACGTACTATTACTAATAAGTAAATCTAGCTCATGTTGTCTCATTACCAGTTTCCTGTGCATTCTCATGAGCCTGATGACACTTGGGCTGACTGTGCAGTTACAGTATTGCCACAATAATGTGATGTGATGCTGACTCTCTGGAATTTCACCTTGTTAACATACTATATTTCACCAAATCAGTGATTTTTTTGTAATTTGTATTTTGATAGCTATGACACTGCAGTAGTAAGTCATGGACTTCTTGGATTTCTGGAGTTTAACTTTTGATGACTCGGTTTTGAGTCAGACTTGAATTTTGTTGACTCGCACTTGAAAAACAATTAATCACTCGGACTTAAATTTGAGTACTAAAGTCTTGAAATTGGGACATGATCTAAATGGTTACATGTTTTTTTAAGCGTGTATACTTCATCAAGATTTAATATACACTATAGGCGAAGCCACACTTCCTTGGAGCCAGAGTTGGTTGTTTTTAGGCTGTTTTGATACAGAAAAGAAAATCATTAAAAGACCACATAACCATCACTTAACAGCCAAACCACCGTCCATCTACAGATCAAAAACAACAATGCCACTCTATAACCACACGTAAAACTTTTATCATTGATCGAATCATTTGATCTCCCATTTGCTTTCACCACACAATATCACACTTCCCATTTTTCTAGTTGTTAATATAATAGAAGATACATATGGAAACACTGTGAGGAAAAGGGAGAATGTTTTACGGAAAGAAAAGGGAAATATGTAATTGATTAAACATTTTTATCATCTTATATGTGTATATATATATATTATTACTGTTGATAATTTGCTAAATAAATGAAGAAAAAGCTCAAACTTTCAAAATAAAAGCCCATTTTCAAAGAAATTCGCCATGGATGAGAGTCTCAGGAAATCAGATCAAGCAGCCTGCCAATCGCAAACCCTCCCTAATCAACATGCTCCATCATCCCTCCCTTAACAAGAAACATGTACAGAAACAGAAATGATTGACCTCCACCTCATTTTCGCAGCCCTATCTCCACTACTCCATCATCATATCTCTAATCTTCTAACCTCATCTGGGTGAGGACAATGCATCATTATGTCTCTGGGTAGATGAAGTGTGCTGGCACAGTGGGGGACAGGGAGGTGGGGGTGGGGGGGTCACTGACTCATTACTCACGAATGTCAAGTTCAAGCGTGTGTGAATTCTGTCAACAGATGCGATTTGTCCTAACTATAAGACAACTGCGGGACATTACACTCTTGAGACAGTAAAACAGAAAGTCTTGATGAGAAATTAGGCAAGCGGAGACGAGAGAGAGACACAATACTGACGGGCAGGCCTGTTATCAGTTAGTGTTTTGCAGGCGGCAGCTGCAGCGGAGGCTTGACCTCACTTCCCAGCTATGCAGGCAGACTCTCCAGAGTTAGATAAATTTCTCGAATGGTTCGCAGGCCAGCAGAGAAACTATCCTAACTATTTGTCTCTCAGTGAAACATCTTACTATGGACAGGACAAGACTCAAAAAAAAAGAAAAGAAAAACATGCCAAGGCAAGAAACATGGTCACATAATACAGTCATAATGACTGTATTATGTGACCATGTTTCTTGCCTTCAGCAAAATCTACAAAAACCTCTAAACAACCTATATTATTGTCAGAGTAACACATAAACCAAAATAAATCAAAACAACAACTATAACAGAATATTTGCTGAGTTGTTGTATTTTTTTCCTTCCATTCAGTTTTCCCACAGAATGAGGAAGAAAACAGTCTTTGTGTGAAGCTGTGACCTGAGAGGTTTCACCCTTGGATTCTTTCATTTCCTCTCTGAATCCAAGGATATATAGTTGCTTGCATTATACCCTTCATCTCAAAATGACCTCTTTACATTGCCCAAAAAAAAAAAAAGAAAAAAAAGAAAAGAAAAGAGGTTGGTTTACCACGACCACATGGAGCAGCGTTACTGCTGCACCAGGTTCACAGAGGGTAAAACCAGTGCTTTTGTTTACGGAAGGAACAAATGCGTCTTTTTGGCAGATTTAGATGAATCCCTTTGCCTTGTCACTTGCTTGAAAATGCCACATGGAAGGCGAAGAGACGAGAGAAATGGAAAGTCAGTGGAGAAAAGTAAATAAACAAGGCTCTAAAGTAAGGCTGGAACATTTTGGAAATGTATGGAAAACTACTTTGATGCTTTCCAGATTTTAATAGAATTAGGAATTTCACAGAGGCAAGGGACATGTACGGGTGTTGTTGTGTCCTACTCATAGCAACAGTGTCCTCTATGATACATTGTGGTATTTGTAGTTCATCTACACAATGGTTTGAACCTTTGTTGAGAGCTGAGTTGCTCTACAGTAGAGGACAACATGTCAGGAAATCTAAGCAGCCAGAATCCAGTGAAGAAGTAATTTTGTATGAACTGCAGGTTAGGGACTGATATGAAAAAGCCATAATGTTATGTAATCATTACCATATACTTTGGGAATAATAAAGGACTATCTCATCTTATCTCATCTCATCTTATCTTATCAAGTGACTTTATATCAGAAATTTAAATTATTGTCAATAAATATGATAAAATATCTCATAATCATGAATTAGTGAATACAGTTTTTTACTTATATTATTATTTGGATATTCTGTCTCATACACTATACAAAAATAAAAGAGTAGTTCCTTGAAGAACCTCTAGGTTACTCCAAGAACTCAGTGGCCCCTCCAAGAAAAATGTTTCTTAATACTCTTAGAGGTGTGTGCAAAAACTTTAGGGATTCCTGAACACTGGTCATTTTGGCTCTGTATCTTCGAATTTTGACATAGACAGTCAAAACACTTGACTCTTTTGACTTTTTTTTTTTTAAATCATCATTCCAAACTTTTGTCATTTTTTTTTAAAATTTTGTTATTCCTGGTGGAAATGGGCTTCTATAAGACTGGGAACAGAGGAGGCTGGGAACAAAAATAAGGAAATAATAGAGACCAGACTATGGCAATGAACCCCGCACTCCCGCAAACACACACACATGAAAAGCTGAGGGTAGACACGGATAAACACTCACATGTGCAGACACAAACACACGCAAACACTCACTTACATAATTATACATGGCACACAGACAGATGGAGGAGCGCACTCCAACACACTCAGAACATTTGGGCGGTGTTGAGAAAATACTCACAAAAACTGTCCACTCCTTCCCAGCATGCTTAGCCTTACAGTCAACATTACAATCAATATTATGAGAAAGATTTTTTGGTCTCTTTTTTTCTCTGTCTCTGTACACCACCCCCTCCCTCAGGTTAGGAAACATGGATTCTTTATGATCTTACATCATATATGTCGAGAAAGGCTTCGCTCTAATTGCTGAGATGTCATGTTTTTTCCCGTTTGTCATGAAGATGTTTATGACATTGTTTTTCAGCATCAGTGACGCATTGTCTAAAATTTTCCATTGAAAGCAGCTTGTTCTGTTACCCTCAGTCACATGTAGCACGGCACAGAATTACAGTAATATGAGGTTAAATGGCTTAAAGGATCATGCTGGTGGTTGGGCGTGTTTAGCCCTTTTAACTAGAAATGACATGTTTTTTTGATTGTACACATTTTAGGCTGCCACCAAACCAACTTGCAGAGATCTGAAACAAGCTCAGGAAAGGTAATCCATCACTGTGAACATTATGGCATCCATGTCTATGTTGTTAAAGTTACATTAGTGATTATTTATTCTTTTGATTTGATTTTTTTTGTTTGTTTTTCACCATAAACCACTAACAAGAACTGTCACTTCCAAAGCTTACATTCATGTATTGTGAACATGACAAGAAACATATTTGTTAAAGGGGCTTTTTGTAAGTTTTCACTGGCTCCAAAAATGGTTTCTTGCGGCGGGTGGTGCCTGACAAGAGCTTCAGCCATCATTGCATTTACATGACGCCAGTGAGATGCTATCGGAGAGTGATGAGACGGGCTGGGGAGCTCGCTGGTTAGCATTCTAACTTCCATAAAAGAA